AATTGAGGCCTGTCTTCCCTTTACCCCCCTTTCCTCTTTCCCTGAGGCAGGTACTTCTCAGGCAACTGTGGCCTATCACCTTGGGGACCCTGTGCCTCTCTGGGTTTAAGCCAATCTGGGACAACCCCGCTGTGTGACACCCTTCCACCGTTCCTTTCCTTCCCACCACAATCCCCACTGCAGGGAGCTCCTACATGAGTGCCCTGGAGGTTGGGGGCCTTGTAGGCAGCATCGCAGCTGGCTACCTGTCAGACCGGGCCATGGCAAAGGTGAGTCGGCAGAAGGGACAGGAAGGAGGTCCCCTTTAAATCTTCCCAGCATGACTGGGACAGGTACCAGAGAGCCGGGAGCCCTGAGGCATAGGCAGGTTTGCAGATGCTGGTTTAGGCTGGGTACAGTGGCAATGGTTCCAGCCTCCTCTTTGCTAGGGATGTGAAGATAAAAGGTGCTGGGGAAGGGTTGTACCTGATGTCAAGGACAGCCAGAATTTCTCAGCATAGCCGTGAGCTTCTCCACAGCCCCAGGAAAACTGGGTTTGGGGAGGTACTGGGTACAACTTGCCAACACGTGTTACAAGCCTGTCCACCTTGTTGTGGAGTTTGGCCTCACAACATTAACAAGCCAGGTCCCAGGGCCTCCCAGAGCTGCCCTGGGCCAAGAAATGTGGTGGAATTGCCAAAGACCTGTCAGCAGGGGCCCTGCTGTGTCAGAGTCCAGGGGTGGGGAATCCTGTGCTGTGCCCAGGACCTGACATGGCTGGGACTCTCCCCACAGGCAAGGCCCTCCCTCTACGGGAACCCTCGCCATGGCCTGCTGCTGTTCATGATGGCTGGCATGACAGTGTCCATGTACCTCTTCCGGGTAACTGTGACCAGTGACTCCCCCAAGGTAGGTAAGGAGGGCCTGGCCCAGGGCAGGCACAAGGATGAGAAAGGACCCCTGGCTTCAGCCTGGCCCCAGCCTTTCTCTGCCTGCCAATTTCCTTTTCCACTTGCTGGCACCTCAGCTCCCGCCCTCTGTGCTTTGAAGCCCCTCCTAGACTCTGGGCCTAGTTTTCTTCTCTCCCCCGTGCTCCTCTAGGATGTTGCTTTCTGGACTCCAGCTCTTCATCCTCTCGCTGAGCTCACAGGCTTTACAGAACCTGAGGTGCCTCATCTCTCTGGCTTTCCTCCTGGTTTGCTTTACCTCCGTCCTCCCCACTCTGTCTTGCCCTCGGCCAGTCCAGCTTCACAGGTTCTGAGACGAGGCCGCGTCTAACTTGTCGGGATGGCTTCTGTACCTCCACCTGCCCGCACAGGCTCCTGGGTTGGCTCAGTGTGGCACCCACTCCTCTGGCTCCGCACTGGGAAGTGGGGTGTGGGAGGCCCCTTACTGTCTCCTTCTACACCGATTTGTTCTGGGGCCAAGCCCTCTTGGGACCCTGGCAGGGGGTAGGTAGGTAGGCTTTCTGACGCTACGTGCCACCTCACTGCCCTGCAGCTCTGGATCCTGGTGTTGGGAGTCGTGTTTGGTTTCTCCTCTTACGGTCCCATTGCCTTGTTTGGAGTTATAGCCAACGAGAGTGCCCCTCCCAACTTGTGTGGCACCTCCCATGCCATTGTGGGACTCATGGCTAATGGTAAGTGGTACCCCCTTGCACACAGGCCAGCTAGAGGTTGGGGCAAGCACGACTGGCTCCAGCCTCCCAAATGATTTGGGTTCCTCCTTTCCTCCCTGACAGTGGGCGGCTTTCTGGCTGGGTTGCCCTTTAGCACCATCGCCAAGCACTACAGCTGGAGCACGGCCTTCTGGGTGGCTGAAGTAATCTGTGCAGGCAGCACAGCCACCTTCTTCCTCCTACGAAACATCCGCACCAAGATGGGCCGAGTGCCCAAGAAGGCCCAGTGAGAGTGCAGGCTCTGGAACATCCTCTCCCACCTGTGGCCTTTCCCCCTGTATGGGGCTGGGGGAAGAGACGGGGGCTGCTCTGGCTAGCACTGAACCTTTGACTTTCCTGTTCCTTTTCCCTCGCCCAGGTGGCGTTGGAAGTGATCAGTGACTAATGAGGTCCCAGCTCCCCATCCTGTGCTCTATTTAAAAGACCACCTTTGTTCTTGGACTCCCAGCAGCTATTTCCTGCATTCAAACTGGAAGCCCCTGCGATCAGGGAGTCTCCTGTAACCTCCGGCCCCCATCCTGCCACATCCCCCACCCGAAGGCTCCTCCTGCCGCTGTAGGGCACCATGGCCCATGACTTCTGTCCTAAGGCCTCTCAGCAGGAACAACTGCTACTGCCAATACCTCAGACTCTGGGGAAGAGAGCAGGCCATCCCTCTCACCAATACCCTGCAACAATCAGGGGTGTTGTGTAGGTGGGGTGGTGGTGGGGATACAAAGATTTGTTATTGAAGATTAAAACTAGATTTGATACTAAATACAGCCAGCAAGTTATTCTTTCAGTGGGGATAATTCAAGCCATAGGCAGATTTTTTAGGAGATACTCTTCAATACCTGCTCTTTCTACCCTAAAGGGA